CCATCGGTATCTGCAGCACATTTCCAGGAAGAACAGTCGTCTGGGGCCCGGCGGTAACGCAGATGAAAGACGGAAAAACACCGGACAGCAGTCTGAAGCGCTGACAAGCACGACGCACAGCATCGAAATGAGGCCAAATACCAAGGTCAGATATCCAGGTTCCATCATGGCCGAGGGTCAGACAAGTGCAGCCGCACTCGGAGCACGATAATGAACCTTTATAGATGGCTTTGAGCCGACCCCGTGAGACACCGATGCATCGGCATGCAGTAGGGCGCCTCTATGTCATGCACAAACGCTGAACGGTCAATGCTTGTGGAGCGAGTCATGACCATTGTTTTTGGTCAGAACCGAGGACTACGGCGGGGAGGTTGAGAGGTGCCGTGATTGTACAGCGTATGGATCGTCTAACCCGGATTCTACGTTTAAATTACCATCGGAAGGCTCTGGTAGTCTCAGGAAAGTTCGAAGTGGGCTTGATCTGAGACAACGAATGCCTTTCAGCAGACTAGAATCAACCTGTAAATTGTGTCGGCAAGGCCGCTGATCTGGGTTGCAAACGTTGTTTTCGAGCTCTGCTCTTGTCTTGTTGGCTCACGACCGTTCCGCTCACCTGATCTGATGATATCTGGTCTGCTGCCTGAGCTCGCTAGTCTCCTGTGAGCAGAACGGAATATACTTCCTTCAAACTACGCAGGCTCTGGATATCCATGTAGAATTCGCTCAAATAAGGACTGTGTCGCTTCCATTCAATATCCATAGACACTCATAAGTGTGATATCTATGAGATTACGACCTCTGGCATAGTGCCATTTGGCACAGTATACAGCTTCCATCCAGCTACGGCTTTGAAGGCTGTGTCGTTACCAAGCTTCTGAGACGTAGCTTGTCGACTTTTCCATTGCTATGTAAGTGATATAACATGTAAGCATACATGATCATCACTTTGTGGGCAACGTACGTGGTGAGCGGCATCACAGACAGCGCATGATATTTGCACGGCACAGCGTAATACGGCTGTAAGGCAGCTACAGTCGTGCGTATCTCTTCGGTGGGAACACATATAGGGCTATAGAACGCCCAAAGGTCTTGTCCTATCAGCAGTGCGCGAGCAGATTCGATGCCTGGACATGCACGAACGGCGGCAGTCACGCCATCCAGCTCTACGCGAAACCCCTATAATGTTCGTGAAACACATTGTGAACCGCCAGGTTTACACGCGTATACCTTGATTTTCACCTGGTCGTCAACTCGTCCGAGGTGGATTAATTGACCCCCTTTCTGGAGCTTGCCGATGTCTCCTGTGTTGTACATCATTCCCCTGTGGCATAAGATTGTTCGTCGAAATGATCAGACGCGGAATGATGTCTCGCACACGCACCCCTGCATGAAAAAAGGATCGCGAAGAAACTTATCCCTTGTAAGATCTGGGCGATTGAGATAACCCATGCACACGCCGCGTCCGCCTGCCCACATTATGCCAGGCATACCGCGTGGAACAGGGCGCATCTCGGCATCGAGGATATATACAGCATTGTTCGGAGTTGAGCTGCCGATCGACTTAGGCACGCCAGGCGTATGTCGGTGCATAGTTTTCACGATGGTCGTCTGCAAAAGAACATGGACCACAACCGATGACAGTAACAGAAAACACATACCTCTGTGGGTCCACAGCAGTTGTGGAACATCGCGCGCTGCGCCCATCGATCGGCGAGGCTCAGGGGGCACGGCTCCCCCTGTTGACTTTTGGGTATGTCGGGCAAGCGTCGCTGCCGGCCCGGGTCACGTGGTCATGCGCCGGTGTGGGAATAGGACTTATGTAGGCGTTGCGCGTCGTAGGTAGCCCCATCGGTTTGTAACCTTATCCACCATTGATCCCTGTCCATCGAGGACGTTGGCTGCCGGCGGTCTTTCCGGTGTCATTCTCACACCCCCGCCGTCGCAACAACACGAATGTTTGGGTAGTCTGATGGGTCATGCTGTGCCAGGATGGACGGCGTGCTAATCACGACATCCACCATCTTCAGGACGTTGATCCAATCCTGCTGGTGGGGCCCACGGAGGTGCAGTGTCCTGCTGTTCATGAGACATCCCAGGATCTCCCAAGCACACATACCAAATGCGACGTTGAGCAGCTGCGAGACTCGGGTTCCGGGGCGGATGCCTAGGTTTCCCGGGGAGAGGCAAAGCACTGGGAGATGCTTGTGTTAGAGCCTAGCGCGTCCGGAAAGAATGAAGCAGCTCACAGTTGCACACATTTGAGTGGCTCACGATCACGCCTTTGGGCCGACCAGTCGTTCCTTAAGAAGTCCTATCAGGAATATATTAAGAGAAGATGCACTAATCGTGACTCACCAGAGGTATAGATGATATATGCGCTATCGTGGGGAAGGAGAGCCACAGGAACTAACATCACAAACGGAGATTCTGAGATAGATAACTCCACAATCAAGTCTTCGAGGCAGACGTGGTGCACGAGGCATGTAGCACTTTGAGACGAGGGTGAAGGTCGGCTGTGCATCTTGCGTGGCAAGTGCATTGTCTGTCACAACACATCCGTCTAAAGGCATGTATGCGGCACAAGAATGGTGACAATTTGTGTAATGGAATGCTCAATCAACAGACAAATGCAAGCACCTTGAATGACACCCTTGGAGCGCAGCCAAGTGGCCAGCCTTCCTAAGAGGCGCTCCAGCTCGTGGTATGTCATGGAGTCGCCACCATGATCGACAATAGTGACAAGCTCAGTGGGCATCCCTACGTGAGCAAGGAATGCATCATGAATGGTGTCATAAGGGACAGCAGAAGAGGGGCCAAGTACAACACTGGCGTTACGAATGTCTTCCGTGGCCTGAAGCCAATATGCTGGAGTAACGAGGGGGAATGCGACTGAACCACCACCTCCTGCTGTCGCGACTTGGGGTCAAGCGACTGGGGAGAACCTAAAACTGGAGGCATCCGACTTATTCTCACCGAAGCGATGGTGAGCGAAGCTCAAACCTAAGGCTAGGGACAAGTAAATGTATTAGTTAGTGAAGTAAGAACAAGATACAAAGAGGGGCTTACTGACCTAGGGACAAGAGGTCGAAACTGAGGTCCCTAGGGCAGCAGAGGCCGGCTTATATACAGGGGAAGTTTAGGGGAGGCTGTGCACACTGGTCTGTGCACAGCTGGTCCGTGCACAGCATGCTGACGTGACCCCAAGGACCGGTGAGTCAGAGAGGCTGTGTCAGCGGAGCCTGAGCTGTGCCGTGCACTGCTGCCCATCTAATTTAATCATACAGTAGATAACGATGCGTCCATATCAGGCAGGTAGTACAGAGGTCGCGGGTTCGAGCCCGCGAAAAGGAAAAATTTAAAAAACGGCTAGATGCCATGCCAACTCGTGACATTACCCCCCCCCTCAACGGCGCATAACCTTATGCGAGGCGCCCTTGCCCATCTCCCACCTGGAGCGGCAGCGTGCTTCAGTCAGCGGCGAAGGCATTGGCTGAAAGTTGAGACCACCAAAGGTAGCAGCGTTGAGGCGGCAAGGGGCATTTGGATTCTTCCGGTGGAAGTCAGCTATGAGGGCTGGCGCATTGGCAGCATTGCGCGCCGGTTCCCATGATGTATGCGAGTCGTCATAACCTTTCCACTTGACGAGGTACTGCAGCTGACGCCGGAAGATCCGCGAATCCTTGATCCATTCGACCTCATACTCCTCGTCACCCTCAACCTCGATCGCAGGCGGCTCCTCCGGCTCCCGGCCCGGGATCTCGCTACGCGTGTACTTGCTAAGCAAGGAGACATGGAACACCGGGTGCACTGGCACCGACTTCGGCAGAACCAATTTGTAATCCAAGTCTTCGAGCTTTCGTCGCACGGCATAAGGCCCAAGGCGCTTGGGACTGAGCTTCTTGCTCAGCTGTTTCAGCTTAAGGTTCTGGGCATCAAGCCAGACCTTGTCCCCTGGTGCAAGAGCACGTGTCATTGCGAATCTCCTTCAGAATCTTGAGCCGATCAGTGGCCGCAGGCATCACAGACATTGGATTGATCCGCACTTGGATCTCAGGATGGTACCCCTGATGCAGGAAGAATGGGGAGTGCCCAGTCGCGGAGTGAACTCAGTTGCTCAGTGCAAACCCTGCAAGCAGCAACTGCTTTGCCCAATTGTCCTGCCTATGGCTTGTGAAAGCACGCAGGTACTGCTCAATCTCCTGATTCCAGCATTCTGTCTGGTCGTCTGTTTGGGGATGGAACACTGTAGATAGCACTGGCTCGATCCCAAGTCCCTTGTACACCGCATGGAGGTACTTTGAAGCAAACTGGGAACCTCGGTCTGATATGACCTTGGCCGGGGCCTCATGATACTTGAACACATTGTGGATGTACAGGTCTGCTGCACCTTCTGCCGTCAGGGTCTCATGACAGGCCGAGAAGTAGACCTGCTTAGTAAAGCAGTCAGCGGTGACCAGGATTGAGTCAAACCCATCAGACTTCGGCAAACTGACGATCATATCGGTCGTGATGATCTGCCACGGGTGCTCGGGAATCTTATTTGGCTTCAGCAGGCCCTGGGGCTTAGCCGGGAATGTTTTGGTACAGTTGCACACGTCGCAGGTGCTTACATACTCATTGACGAATTTAGACATTCCTGGCCACCAGTAGTTCTGTGACATGAGCTCGAGGGTGTTGGCATGACCACCATGTCCGGCAATTGGCGAGTCGTGGTGGATTTTGACGATATTGTCATGAGTTGGTACGGCATCTAGCCGTTTTTTTAAATTTTTTCCTTTTCGCGGGCTCGAACCCGCGACCTCTGTACCACTTGCCTGATACAGACGCATCACCATCTACTGTACGATTAGATTAGATGGGGCGGCAGTGCACGGCACAGCTCGGGCTCCGCTGACACAGCCGCTCTGACTCACCGGCCCCCGGGGCCGCGTTAGCATGCTGCACACGGACCAGCTAGGCATGGACCAACATGCACAGCCTCCCCTAAACTTCCCCTGTATATAAGCCGGCCTCTGCTGCCCTAGGGACCTCAGTTTCGACCTCTTGTCCCTAGGTCAGTAAGCCCCTCTTTGTATCTTGTTCTTACTTCACTAACTAATACATTTACTTGTCCCTAGCCTTAGGTTTGAGCCTCACTCACCATCGCTTCGGTGAGAATCAGTCGAACACCCCCCGCTTTCAGATATTCCCCAGTCGCTTGACCTCAAGTTGTGACATTAGGTCGAAACTCCCATAGTGGCCGGCGTTCATCGGAACCCAAACACTCACTTTCACTTCCTACAGGTCAGGTGGTGTGCACCCTACTATACAATACAATATGTAGATAGCCTACTGTACATTGCCACCACTCAGGGAACGAACTTTTCAGTACCTGCACTTCAGCGGGCGGTACTTGTCCTCACGGACGCGTGGACTAGGTTCCTGCTGCATAATAGTCAAAAGCAGTACTGGGCCCCACGTGAACTGCGAACCCTAGTGTCTTCTCGGGCGCCGTAGCGTAAGCTAGCATAGCACGGCCATTGTAGTACGCGCACCTCCCTGTCCTTCCCCCATCCATCATGGCTGCCTGCCAAGGCCAAATTCACGTATTTGACTCGCAGGACCTCATCGACGTCTACATCCCAGATGGCCCTGAGACTGTCATCTATTGCTGTGAGTAGCAGCCGTGCCCCAACCGGACATCCCGATCGATCGCGGAAGATTACCCGCGCTACAAGGCGATCCAACGAGCACAACACCCGCTCGGCCCTCGAAGCACCCTTGCATCTCGATCTGCCTCGCGGCACTCTCGCCCTGTCTCCCCTACCTCCCGCCTTCCCCAAACTGTCGCCGAGTCCAGTCAAGTACGAGGAGATCTCCCTCCAGACCCTGCGCCAGAGCCTGAGCCTGAGGAGGGTACAGGTGAAGAAGGAATCTTGGAGTCCGAGTCCGAGGATTTTGTTGGGTCCGCCTCGCTGACAGCGCTCGCCCCCGCGTCAGCAGTCCCTGACATACATGACCCCCCCACCAAACTTCCTCCGGTGCCTTCACCATTGTCTCCACCGAGAGGCCGCTCGAGCACTCGCTCCTCTCAAAGTTCGACCAGCGGAGGGCCACCACAGCCACCTCCGCCCCCGCAGCGTCCTCCGTCCCCCCCAACGCTGGTAATGTCTTCTCCCCCGACCACCCCCGACAAGGAGACCCTGAAGCTCCTCCTCCCACTCCGATACGATGGCAAGACCGTCATCGAATGCGACAGATTCTTGTTGCAACTCTGTATCTATTGGTTGATCAACACATCGTTGACAACCATTGAGCTCAAGGTACAAGTTGCGCTGAGCCTGCTCGATGGCGACACCCGCGCCTGGGCCACGCCTTACTTTGCCCAACTCGCGTCGGTGCAGATGGGAGTACAAGGGGTCACAACCCCCTTCAGGAACGAAGCGGCCTTCACTGCTGCCTTTAAGGCCCACTTTCTCGACGACGAGGTGGCAGCACAAGTAGAGCTGGTGAAGCTCTGCGCGGACAAGTCGGTCCGCGAAAAATGCACCGCTGCGGAGTTCTCTGCGCTGTTCAAGGGTTCGGTGGACCGTTCCGGGTATGGGGACCTGGAACTACGCGACAAGTACCTGAGCGGCATTCCCTCCTGCGTATATCACAAGATCGAGCTCGAGACCTTCACCACGTGGCAAGTGGCTGAAAAGCGGGCCACTAAGGTCGAGCAGATCCTCGACATCAGCCGGGCCTGTCAGCCTGAGCTGAACAACTTCTTCTCGGCTTGAGGACAAGGGCGCGGCGGGGCACGTGGTGGTGCACCCTCGACGCATGCAGCTTCGGCCAGCATCAATGCAGCCATCGGAAAAGGAGACTTCCCCGGCACATGCTTTGGCTGCGGGAAGCAAGGGTACCGACGCTTCGAGTGCCCCAATTGTAAGGACAAGCCTTACACAAAACGCGCCGACGCACAGGCTACGGTTGCCTCGGGTTCCACCCAGGCAATGACAAGCGCCCCCGTCACTTCATCCTTGGCGAGTACAAGCACCGCTTCAGCGAAATCGGAAAGTTCCGAGCTGGTGGACTTAATAGCACAGATGAAGTCAATGCGCGAGGAGTTGGAGCACTATCGGGCCATGAGGGAGGAGGGTTTTTGATCCAGTGCGCGCTTCGTGCCGCACGCGTCGGGCCACGTAATAATAATCTGTACAATGTATTGGCGACTGCGAATGTGTATGAGGTGGACCACGGGTCCCAACATTTTCACATTCCAGTACAACTCAAGGGGAAAAGACGGCACAAGGATATAGTTGCAATGGTGGACAGCAGAGCCACTACGAAGTTCATCAACAAGCGTTTCATTACAGAAAACAAGGTGTAGACGCGGAAGTTGAAGGAACCAATTCCGCTATACAATATCGACGGCACCCTCAATAAAGATGGAAGCATCTCAGAAGTAGCTGTGCTACAGATGCAAATAGGAGAGCACGTTGAGAAGACAGTGTTTACAGTCATGGACATCGGTCCAGAGGATGTGATTGTTGGGTTGGATTGGCTACATGAGCACAACCCCAAAATCAACTGGGAGGAAGGCTCCCTCAAGTTATCCCGGTGCCCTGAAACGTGCAGTGCCAGGAGGACTGGCCAGATGGAGCAAGCAGCAACTATGCATGATACGGGGGTCAGGCCCATGGCACGCAGGCGTTCGCCGAAGTCCAGATGGTCGGTTATAGGTGCTTGCCAGAGCAAGGTGCTCCTGGACTTCGAACCCGAAGAAGATGCAGCAGAAGTAGAATGGGATAAGGCCGACTTGATCGAAGCCTGGAAGCAAGGTATCACACTTCCTGATGCCCCTCAGCTGTTTGTCGCAGCAGGGCACACGTACTCCCAGCTGTTCGCTGAGGAAGAGATCAAGAAGAAGGTCATTAAGACCGCCGAGGAGTCAGTGCCCAAACAGTACCACGAGTTTCTGAAGGTCTTCTCAAAGGAAGCATCAGAACGGCTACCCAAAAGGAAGCCATACGATCATGCAATTGAACTCATGCCGGGCTATTCGACATTCCATTCGAAGGTGTACCTCCTGTCAAACAATGAGCAGGAGGAACTCAATAAGTTCCTAAAGGAGTAGCTGGCGAAAGGCTATATACAGGAATCGAAGTCGCCCATTTTGTCCCCCTTCTTCTTCATCAAAAAGAAGGCAGGGACGCTTCAATCCGTGCAGGACTACCATCGGCTGAACACGATCATGGTTAAAAATCGCTATCCCTTGCCACTGATTGCTGAAATGGTAGACAAACACCGTGGCACTACACTGTTCACAAAGTTTGACGTCCGATGGGGATACAACAACGTCCAGATCAAAGCTGGTGACGAATGGAAAGCCGCCTTCGTGACTAACCGGGGGCTGTACGAACCCCTGGTAATGTTCTTTGGACTCACCAATTCCCCTGCAACCTTCCAGGCCATGATGAATAAGATCTTCCATGATTTCATCGTCGGCGGAAAGATCCTTGTGTACCTGGACGACATACTCATCTTTTCCACCAACAAGTAGGAACATGAGAAGGTTACACGTGAGGTTTTGCGTTGCCTCCAGGACAACGATCTGTTCCTGAAGCCTGAGAAGTGTGAATGGGACGTTCCCAAGGTCAACTATGTTGGCTATGTGTTCGGTGGCGATGAGGTGGCGATGGATCCCGCGAAGTTAAAAGGAATCAATGAGTGGCCGGTACCCCGGAACAAAAAAGATGTTCAGAAGTTCCGGGGGTTGTCCAACTTTTACCGCCACTTCATTAAGGACTTTGCTAAGATCTCGCGACCACTCGACTGGCTCACAGGGAATGACCCATGGCATTGGGGCGAGGAAGAGCAACACGCATTTGATGAGCTCAAGCGGCTCTTTGCAACGACTCCAGTCTTGGTGTTGTACAACCCTAATCGGGAGACTTGAATCGAAGTCGATGCCTCAGGTTACGCCACTGGTGGCGTGCTAATGCAGAAGCAGGATGACGGCAAATGGCATCCCATCGCCTTCCGGTCTCACGCTATGGACCTGGTCCAGCGGAACTACGAGATCTATGATAAGGAGATGCTTGCCATCATTAAAGCGCTACACGATTGGCGCCACTATCTCGAGGGGTTACCCAATCAGTTCGAGATCATAACTAATCATAAGAACCTCGAGTACTGGTGTACATCCCAGCATCTCACACGTCATCAAGCACAATGGTCGCTGTTCCTGGCTCGCTTCGACTTCCACATCATGCACAAGGCTGGAACGTCAAATGGAAAGGCTAATGGCCTGTCATGTCGGTCAGATCATCAGATCGGCGATGAGGATGATAACACCGATCAGGTGGTTCTCAAACCGAAAAGGTTCCGCATTGCCTCTGCTAGGCACGGTCATGCCTCAATGACAGCTGATCAGTCGCTTCTGAAGCGCATCCGGGAATGTTCGGAGAAGGATCGGGAGGTGGCCAAGGTACTTGAAAAGGTGCAGGACCTCGGGCCGTCCCGGCTGCAAAGGGGTTTTGAGGAGTGGAATGCCGAACAAGGGCTTCTGCTGTTCCACGGATGCGTATACGTCCCAAAGGACGCAGAGCTCCGGCGGGATATCGTCAAGACCCACCACGACTTGCCGATCGCCGGTCATGGCAGCTGTGCCAACACCCTGGAGCTCGTGTCGCGGAATTACTGGTGGCCTGGGATGTCCAAATTTGTCAATGAGTACGTAAGCACCTGCGACGTGTGCAACCGTACCAAGACATTCCCAGCCAAACCCCAGGGTCCGCTGAAGCCGAATGAGATTCCCGAGCGCCCATGGCAGATCATCACGACTGATATGATCGTCGGCTTGCCAAAGTCTGATGGATTCGACTCGATCCTGGTTACCGCCGACCGCTTCACAAAGCAGGTCCACTTCTCAGCCTATCATGAGACCCTGACGGCAGAAGGTGCGGCAGACCTGTACATCCACAATGTGTTCAAGTATCATGAGGCCCCGGCCAAGGTCATATCAGACCGAGGTCCCCAGTTTGCTTCAAAGTACCTCCATGCGGTGTACAAGGGACTTGGGATCGAGCCAGTGCTATCTACAGTGTTCCATCCCCAAACAGACGACCAGACAGAATGCTGGAATCAGGAGATTGAGCAGTACCTGCGTGCTTTCACAAGCCATAGGCAGGACAATTGGGCAAAGCAGTTGCTGCTTGCAGGGTTTGCACTGAGCAACTGAGTTCACTCCGCGACTGGGCACTCCCCATTCTTCCTGCATCAGGGGTACCATCCTGAGATCCAAGTGCGGATCAATCCAATGTCTGTGATGCCTGCGGCCACTGATCGGCTCAAGATTCTGAAGGAGATTCGCAATGACACGTGCTCTTGCACCAGGGGACAAGGTCTGGCTTGATGCCCAGAACCTTAAGCTGAAACAGCCGAGCAAGAAGCTCAGTCCCAAGCATCTCGGACCATATGCTGTGCGGCAAAAACTCGAAGACTTGGATTACAAATTGGTTCTGCCGAAGTCGGTGCCAGTGCACCCGGTGTTCCATGTCTCCTTGCTTAGCAAGTACACGCGTAGCGAGATCCCGGGCCGGGAGCCGGAGGAGCCGCCTGCGATCGAGGTTGAGGGTGACGAGGAGTATGAGGTCGAATGGATCAAGGATTCGCGGATCTTCCGGCGTCAGCTGCAGTACCTCGTCAAGTGGAAGGGTTATGACGACTCGCATACATCATGGGAACCGGCGCGCAATGCTGCCAATGCGCCAGCCCTCATAGCTGACTTCCACCGGAAGAATCCAAATGCCCCTTGCCGCCCTAACGCTGCCACCTTTGGGGTAATGTCACGAGTTGGCACGGCGTCTAGCCGTTTTTTAATTTTTTCCTTTTCGTGGGCTCGAACCCACGACCTCTGTACTACATGTCTGATATGGACACATCATATCTACTGTACGATTAGATTAGATGGGGCGGCAGTGCATGGCACAGCTCGGGCTCTGCTGACACAGCCTGTCGCGACTTGAGGTCAGGCCACTGGAGAGAACCTGAAAACTGGGGGTGTCCGACTGATTCTTACCGAAGCGATGGTGAGCAATACTCAAACCTAAGGCTAGAAACAAGATAATATATTAGTGAGGTAAGAAAAGGAATACAAAGGATGCTTACTGACCTAGGGACAAGAGGTCAAAACTGAGGTCCCTAGGGCAGCAGAGGCCGGTGATACGACCTACAAAACCCTAACCCCTAACCTAGGTGCGACCTAAAGGGACTAGAGGGACGGATTATAGTCTTAGTGAGAGGGGAGTTAGCAGCAAGGTGTCCCGTGGTTCGAGTGAACACGAGAAACGCCCTTGGCAAAGGTTACAAACAACGGGGAAGGTATGAGGTGGCTTCGACACGTCGTCGAAGCTACTTGGAGGCTGTGGAAAGTTAGCGACGATCGAAGCTCGGCAGAGCTCTTCGATGTATCGTAGAAGGAAGGGACACGACTTGTTAGGGTGGACTTAGCTAGGACGCGGTTCGTAGTTTCTTCGACAATAGTCGAAGTCGAAGGGTTTGTCGAGACGGTATCGACGAGTAAACGCAGTGGACGAGGTTTCGAAGTTACGCAGCGAGGGACGAAGTGACGCAGTTGAAAGCTTAGACGCGGGGCGAACTCGACTTATGAGCTCTGAACTTGAGGGGGGAACCGGATCTTGTTATTTTTGGAGAAGTACGACAGAATTTATACTACACAGGACGCTACGACTATCGAAAGTGGCACACTGGTACAAGGGGCTTTGCATTGTTCCTCAAGAAGCTGCCTCACCGAGGGGCACATACCAAGTCCATTGGTAGAGTGACGTCATGCCGGACGCGGAGATGAAGAGAAACATATGGCCACTTCGGACCAGTAGCCGTTGTGAAGGCATGTCGCAAGGTTCGATACTTAATCGGGAAAGACCGGCTACGTCGGTGTGGCTTGGAGCGAAGCGCGCGCTTGGCCAAGCGGCGTCAAGTGGCCCTATTGTTTGCCGAATGCGGAAGATGTCCCGGGATCTACGCACGAGGCGTCGGGACGACCGTGCCGAGCTTCGAGTAAGTGTCGCGCACCGTCGAAGGTGTCGAAGAGCGTCGAAGGTGAAATCGAAGTGGTGGGAGACTGAGTCGAAGTGCCGGGCGGGATGCAACTGCCGAAAAGAGGTGAATCGGGGCCCAGAAGGGCTTGGCGCCTATCATCTGCTCCCTATTGAAATTTGGACCACCCTCGGTCCTCCACGTGATGCGAGAAGCACGATGGTCGTGAACGGGTCGAAGCGGCATGACAACCCGCGTCGGTTTCGAACGCCACGTGGCCGGCGCTAAACGCTGGTCGGAAAGGGGTTATAAGCAGGGTAGACTTAGCCTCATTTTCCCCATCCCATCGTTCCTTCATCGCTACCTCGTCGCCCTTTTCTGCATACTCGCTGCTCTCTACGATGTCTTCTCGTTCCGCCACCCCTGCATTGACTCCCTCGCTCGTCAACCGCCGCCTCGCCTCCTTGCTCGTGGTCCTTGAGGCTCCGCCGACTGCCGATGCCGCGCTCGACATGGTCGAAGAGTGGGCGCAGGATTTGTCGCTGCTCGTCGTAAGTCGCTGCATAATCTGTATAACCCAACTAACCGTTTGTTTTCGAACAGCTCGCCTATCGCAAGGCCTTGGGCGCCATCCGCGACGAGGAGATGGAGTTGCGCGTCGCTGCTGCCGTCAAGCAGCTTGCCAAGCAGGCATCGGAATTGTGGGTCGAGTGGGCGCGCGGGGACTGGCCAGAGCTCGTGACCGCCATCGACATCGAGGTCCAACGACGCGCTGAAGAGCAGAAGCATCTCGCCGAGGAGGAAGCACGACGCGTCGAAGAGGCTGCAAAGCGTGTGAAGGCCGCCGAGGACCGTCGCCTCGAAGACGAACGGCGTTGAAAGGATGAAGAGGAACAGCGCCTCGAAGACAAACATCGCGCGCAAGAGGCCGCCGATGAAGAGATGGCAAGGATCGCGGCCGCTGAAGGACTTCTCGACAAGGGGAAAGGGCGCGCAAGGGTCGATGACGAGGTCACCGAGTTGTCGGACGACCCCTCGGTCGTAAGTGTTTTCTTGTATCGTCGTTCGATGACTAATCTCTCTTTCGTAGAAGACTCCTCGGACGCTCGAACGTCCTTTCACGATGACGGAGGTCGACATGGCCGCCGTTGCGCTTGAGAAGCGCCAGTCGGGACAGAAGGTAAGCTCGACTCTTCGTCGAAGCGGTTCAATGCTAACTCTTCGATAGTGTGATCGTTGCGCCGGCTACCGCTCGACCCCGGTGGAGTGCGTGTGGGTCGAGAATGCCACAACTTGTGAGAGGTGTGCGCAGTTCCAACAGGGCTGCTATTTCGACAAAGTGTCTGTCCTGGGCAAGACAAAGAAGACGCGCGGCGGGAGATCTACCACAAAGAAGTGCAGTAAGTCGTTTCTTCTTGTCCTAGGCTTTCGCTGATGACTTAGTAGTTCGGCCGACCTCTCCTGGGCCTTCGGTCGCAGATGCAAGTGGTTCGAAAAAGCGTCGAGTCGACGAGCCCCCGCGCCCCCTTCTACAACTGCCTCTCGATGGGGCCAGCCGCCTTGGGCTCGAACAGGACGACCTCAATGCGCTCGACCTGGACGACGAATCTCGGGGAATCATTCGCATCATCCGCGAGGAGCGCGCTCACATCGCTCGCCGTCGAGCGCTCCTACACGACATGGACCTCGACCTCCAGAAGATGGAGAAGGCCGCGCTTGCAAAGGGAGGAATCGATTTTGTGTGCGGGGCTGTCGACGATGAGTAGGCGATGGCGCGGCTCGTCTTGTATTGTAGTTGTCTTCATGTCGTAGAACATTGCGTAGATGGTCGAATGGAAAATGCGGCCCTTGGCCTAAACGAAACCTAGCGGGAACTAAGAAAAACAGGAAATGAAAATAAGGGTGTTCGAAGTAAGTCGTAATATGATCGAAGGACATAGAAGAAAAAATAGGAATGTTCATAGCAAGGGAAAATGGACTTGATGAAAATATAGGCTCAGTTTGTCATCACAGCCTAGGAGGACTCGTCTAAGGTGAGCCTCCGCGCAACGGTCGAATTGAAGCGTTCATAGAACGTCGAACGATGTCGCGACTATCGAGTTGAATCGAAGGTATTCATACAAGGGAAGGTCTGGAACGTAGGATAAAAATCAAGCATATCGCGTAACGTGAGAGCAGGAATGGAGAGAAGAAAGTACGTATCGTGGTGTACAAGTAAAAAAAGGGAAGAACCTCTATTCGTCGCGTTCTTCAGTTTCTTCGACTTCATCATCGTCATCGTTGCCTAGAGAATTCGACAGTTCGAGTTCTCGAAGACGCTCGGTCGAGACATCTTCGAGATCTTCGGGAATTGGTTGTCACGAGTTGGTACGGCGCCTAGTCGTTTTTTAATTTTTCCTTTTCGCGGGCTCGAACCCGCGACCTCTGTACTACCTGCCTGATATGGATGCGTCACTATCTACTGTACGATTAGATTAGATGGGGCGGCAGCGCACGGCACAGCTCGGGCCCCGCTGACACAGCCGCTCTGACTCACCGGCCCCCGGGGCCGCGTCGGCATGCTGCGCACAGACCAGCTGCGCACGGACCAACGTGCACAGCCTGCCCTAAATCTCCCCATGTATATAAGCCGGCCTCTGCTGCCCTAGGGACCTCAGTTTCGACCTCTTGTCCCTAGGTCAGTAAGCTCCCATGTACTTACTTACTTATTCAATACTAACTAACTTGTCCCTAGCCTTAGGTTTGAGCACTGCTCACCATCGCTTCGGTGAGATTTAGTCGGACGCCCCCAGCTTTCAGATCTTCCCCTGTCGCTTGACCTCAAGTCGCGACATAGGTCGAAACTCCACAAGCTGCCGGTGCTCCTCAGAACCCCACAAACTCACTTTTTTTTCCTATAGGTTGGGTGGTGCGCACCCCTACTGTACCCTACAATACGTAGATAGCCTACTATATATCGCCAACACTCGAGAGACGAACTCTTCAGTACCTGCACTTCAGTGGGCGGTACTTGTCCTCACGGACGCGTAGCCTTGGTTCCTGCTGCATAATAGTCAAAAGCAGTATTGGGCCCTACGTGAACTGCGAATCTCAGTGTCATCTCGGGCGCCGTAGGTGTAAGCTAGTCTACCACGGCCTTTTGTAGTACGCGCACCTCCCCTTCCTCCCCCCATCCAACGTGGCTGCCTGCCAAGGCCAAGTTCACGCATTCGACTCTCAGGACCTTATCAACGTCTACATCCCAGACGGCCCTGAGACTATCATCTACCATTGCGAACAGCAGCCGTGCCCGAACCGAACCCCCCGATCAATCCCGGAGGACTACCCACGCTACAAAGCGATCCGACGAGCGCAACACCCGCTCGGACCCCGAAGCACCCTTGCATCTCGATCAGCCTCGCGGCACTCTCGCCCTGTCTCCCCTAGCTCCCGTCTCCCTCAAACTGTCGTCACTGATCCAGATCAAGCGCGAGGAGATCTCCCTCCAGATCCTGCACCAGAGCCAGAGCCTGAGGAGAGTGAGGGTGAAGAAGGAGTCTCGGAGTCCGAGTCCGAGGATTCTGTTGGGTCCGCCTCGCCGACAGTGTTCGCCCCCGCGTCAGCAGTCCCTGACGTACATGACCCCCCTGCCGAACTTCCTCCAGCGCCTTCACCGCCGACTCCGCCGAGAGGCCGCTCGAGCACTCGCTCCTCTCGAAGTTCGACCAGCAGAGGGCCACCACAGCCGCCTCCACCCCCGCAATGTCCTCCGTCCCCCCCGACGCTGATAATGTCATCCCCCGCAGCCGCCCCCGACAAGGAGACTTTGAAACTTCTCCTCCCCCTCCGCTATGACGGCAAAACCGTCATCGAATGCGACAGGTTCCTGTCGCAACTTCGTATCTACTGGTTGATCAACACGTCGTTTACGACCATTGAGCTTAAGGTACAAGTTGCGCTAGGCCTGCTCGATGGCAACGCCCGCGCCTGGGCCACGCCTTACTTTGCCCAACTCGCATCAGTGCAGATGGGTGTGCAAGGGGTTACAACCCCCTTCAGGAACGAAGCGGCCTTCACCGCTGCCTTCAAGGCTCGCTTCGGCAATCTCGACAATGCGGCAGCAGCCCAGGTAGAGCTGGCGAAGCTCTGCACGGACAAGTCGGTCCGCGAAAAACGCACTGCGGCGGAGTTCTCCGCACTGTTCAAGGGTCCGGCGGACCGTTCCGGGTATGGGGACCTGGAACTACGCGACAAGTACCTGAGCGGTATCCCCTCCCACGTATATCGCAAGATCGAGCTTGAGACCTTCACCACGTGGCGAGCCGCTGAAAAGCGAGCCACTGAGGTCGAGCAGATCCTCGATATCAGCCGGGCCCATCGGCCCGAGTTGAACAACTTCTTCTCAGCCCGAGGTCGAGGTCGCGGTGGGGCACGTGGAGGTGCACCTACGACACACGCAGCTTCGGCCAGCATCAATGTGGCCGTCGGAAAAGGAGACTTCCCCGGCACATGCTTTGGCTGCGGGAAGCAAGGGTACCGTCGTTTTGAGTGCCCTAATTGTAAGGATAAACCTTACACAAAACGCACCGACACGCGGGCTATGGTTGCCTCGGGTTCCACCCAGGCCGCGACAAGCGCCCCCGTCGCTTCATCCTCGGTGAGTACAAGCGCCGCTTCAGCGAAATCGGAAAGTTCCAAGCTGGCGGACTTAATAGCACAGATGAAGTCGATGCGCGAGGAGCTTGAGCACTATCGGGCAATGAAGGAGGAGTCTTTTTGATCCGGTCCGCGCTTTGTGCCGCACGCGTCGGGCCGCGTAATAATAATCTGTACAATGTATTGGCGACTGCGAATGTGTACGAGTTGGACCATAGGTCCCAGCATTTCCACATCCCGGTGCGCCTCAAAGGAGAAAGACGGCACAAGGACATAGTTGCAATGGTGGACAGCGGAGCCACCACGAAGTTCATCAACAAGCGTTTCATCAAGGAGAATCGAGTACGAACGCGGAAATTGAAAGAGCCAATTCCGCTTTACAATATCGATGGAATGCTCAATAAAGACGGAAGCATCTCGGAGGTAGCCGTTGATAGGCGCCAAGCCCCTCTGGGCCCCGATTCACCTCTTTTCGGCACTCGCATCCCGCCCGGCACTTCGACTCAGTCTCCCAACACTTCGATTTCGCCTTCGACGCTCTTCGACACCTTCGACGGTGCGCGACGCTTACTCGAAGCTCGGCACGGTCTTCCCGATGCCTCGTGCGTAGATCTCGGAACGTCTTCCGCATTCGGCGAACAATAGGGCCACTCGACGCCGCTCGGCCAAGCGCGCGCTTCGCTCCAAGCCACACCGAAGTAGCCGGTCTTTCCCGATTAAGTATCAAACCTTGCGACATGCCTTCACAACGGCTACCGGTCTGAAGTGGCCATGTGTTTCTCTTCATCTCCGCGTCTGGCATGACGTCACTCTACCGATGGACTTGGTATGTGCCTCTCGGTGAGGCAGCTTCTTGAGGAACAATGCAAAGCCCCTTGTACTCGTATGCCACTCTCGAATAGTCGTAGCGTCCTGTGTAGTATAAATTCTGTCGTACTTCTCCAAAAATAACAAGATCCGGTTCCCCCCTCAAGTTCAGAGCTCATAAGTCGAGTTCGCCCCGCGTCTAAGCTTTCAACTGCGTCACTTCGTCCCTCGCTGCGTAACTTCGAAACCTCGTCCACTGCGTTTACTCGTCGATACCGTCTCGACAAACCCTTCGACTTCGACTATTGTCGAAGAAACTGCGAACCGCGCCCTAGCTAAGTACACCCTATCGAATCGTGTCCCTTCTCTCTACGATACATCGAAGAGCTCTGCCGAGCTTCGATCGTCGCTAACTTTCCACAGCTTCCGAGTAGCTTTGACGACGTGTCGAAGCCACCTCGTACCTGCCCGTTTGTTCGTAACCTTTCCCAAGGGCGTTTCTCGTGTTCACTCGAACCGCGGGACACCTTGCTGCTAACTCCCCTCTCATTAGACTATAAGCCGTCTCTCTAGTCCCTTTAGGTCGCACCCAGGTTAGGGGTTAGGGTTTCGTAGGTCGTATCATTTCTGGAGCCCACCGCGAGGGGATTTCAGGCAAGAATTCGCCGCTTTCGGGTTTCCGAAAACGTCTCCAGTAGTCACCCGCTTGCAAGCGCGTGAGGCTGCTAGCCGCAGCGCCGCTGAGAACCTCGACAGCTCCTCTAGAACGCAATCGACTCCCTCTCCGACAATCCCCGGTGACTTCGACCGCGACGAAGAAAACGAGATAGACCAAGAACTCCAGGACGACTTCGACAAAGAACCGATCCCTTCGACCGCCGAAGAACGCACTTCATCCCCCGAGCTTCTAGGCCTCACTACTTCCGACTACGACTTTTCGACCCCTGATCTTTTCGAACGATCCAGTTCTTCGCCCGAACCCGAGTATCCCATCCCATCTACTTCGAATCTCGTACTTCCGACTCCGTCGTCTTTTCGCGCCCACCGGCACATGCTTTGGCTGCGGGAAGCAAGGGTACCGTCGTTTTGAGTGCCCTAATTGTAAGGATAAACCTTACACAAAACGCACCGACACGCGGGCTATGGTTGCCTCGGGTTCCACCCAGGCCGCGACAAGCGCCCCCGTCGCTTCATCCTCGGTGAGTACAAGCGCCGCTTCAGCGAAATCGGAAAGTTCCGAGCTGGCGGACTTAATAGCACAGATGAAGTCGATGCGCGAGGAGCTTGAGCACTATCGGGCAATGAAGGAGGAGTCTTTTTGATC